CCCCCTAGTTTCAGCACTGCTTCCAACCACCCCCGTGCCTCCCCTTCCCCCACACTGAGCCACTATTACCTGGCTTCTCCTCTCTTTTTCGGTGTCCCGCAGCCTGCTCAGTCCGGGTACTGACGAGATGCCCCGCCTCCTGCGGAGCACGCACTGTACTGAGAGCCGCGCATTCCTTTTTGACAGCCGCTGCTTGAGTAAGTGAGAGGCAGCCCTGGAGCCTACGTGCCGCTTCAATGACGGCCTAGCCTGCACAGCATCAGAGGGGCCCAGGGACCACCAAAATGTTCTCGCGGACCACCAGTGGTCCACAGACCACTGGTTGGCGACTGCTGCTTTAAAGGAAAGAACAAGTGCTGATAAAACAGAAAGTATGACGTCACATCCAATACAAATCTAAAAAACAAGCAATATATTCCTGGTTATAGAACAGGGGGGTGAGTCATGCAAATCATTCCTTTAGGTTCTAGCTGTACATGCAGGACCCCCTATGTATTGTACAGATACAGCCTAATCGTACACAACTGTTCATTTCCCCTTGCAGGCCAGGCAGGCATTTTGTGATTCTTTTTTTTTTTCCCCCCTCATCAGTACAAGATATGGAACACACACCTCTATGATATGGGACGGGAGTGGGGGAGAAAAAAAGAGGGGGACCCATAAAGGATTCATATTTACACCATGCTCCCTTTTTTTACCCTTATGTTAGCAGCTGAAACACCTACTTCTGGGATTTGTACTAGAGATCTTGCATTCCTATCACCTTAGAATCACCACAGCCCTTCTACAGATACCCCACTCACCAGATCACCTTTGGCCAACGCTCATGTAGGTCTAAACATGTTTCATAGGACAGCCTCCCAATATGCATGCATTGGGACCGGTGGTTCACATGATGGGAGGCTGTCTCACGGAGCATGTACAGACCTACCTGAGTGTCAGTCAAAGCAGATCCAGCAAGTGGGATATCTGAAAGGCCATTTAAAAGAAGGGCTGATTGAAGGTGAGGATGTACAGTATACTAGTGCAGGATCTCAAATAGGATAGTCAGTCATCTTATGGCAGGCAAGGCCAATGGAAACCCCAAGCCCAGCACTGCAAACAAAGTACAATAAACTGGTCACTTCGTCATCAATGTATGTACACTGTGAAAAGACTAAAGTTCACAATTGATGAATTTGATTATATTTATCTTCAACCTCTACAGGTCTCTTTGAATCCCAAGTAATACAGTATGCGATGATGAGTATTGAAGGTGCCAGTTGCATTCGTTTTATCAAGCAGACGTCAGAGGCAGATTACATTAGCTTTCAGCCTCTGGAAGGGTATGTATAAGCAGCATTTTTCCAGGTTTGCCCTTTACAGGTACTCTTTAATTGCAGTTTTCCCTTCTGCGTAGACATACCTTCACTTTGTTTCCCTGCTGTTCTGTTCAAATGCTGGGAGTGAGGTCTAATATTTGTTACAGATACATGGAGAATACATTCCAGCCCACCGCCATTCTCTCTTGTTGGTGTCAGACTACAGCTGCAGTTTTTATTTTCAGATGCTGGTCTGCATTAGGACGAAGTGGAGGTGTACAGACAATCTCTTTGGGTCCATCAAAATGTACATGGACGGCAGTTGCTACACATGAAATCCTACATGCACTGGGCCTCCAACACGAACATGTGAGAAAAGACAGAGATAACTATATAAAAGTCCTGTGGGATAACATCGAAGACGGTACGTAAATGAAACCAATCTGTTTAAAGATGTTCTATTACATGGTCTTCAGGTGAAGTACTCAGAAAGTGCTGAAGCCATTGGATCAGCAAGAACCAGTGGCGTTACAATCACCAAAGCGACCCAGGCAGCCGCTATGGGGCCCTGCCAGGACATCCCCCTGATGCCGTGCCGGCCGCCTGGGTCGCTATGGCATCTCAGGCTTCTGGCTGTCACTGGCGGCTGTGAGGAGGAACGCGCCACTATTTACATGTGCAGCGGCGCGTTCCTTCTCACAGCCGCTACTGAGCCGGTGACAACCAGCAGCTTCGGGGGAAGTGGCTGGGCCCATCGTCGGCAGCGATGGAGGAGACGGGGCCCAGTGATCGAGCAAGCGGGGCATAGAGATGGGGGAGGCGGGGCCCGATGATCGAAGAGGCGGGCCCCAGTGACGGAGGAGGCTGGGCCCGCAAATGGTCGTGGAGGAGAAGGACACAGGATCGGAGCAGACAGGTAAGAGGGCTTGACCGCCCCTCTGAGATCCTGCAGAGCCTACCATAGAGAGTCTATGGTGGGCTCTGCAGGGTCACCCTCAGGTGGGCTGTGTGTAATCTCAGGTGGGCTTAACTAGAAATCACAGGGCCCCATACAAAATTTTGCTTTGGGGCTCTGTGATTTCTAGTTACGCCCCTGGCAAGAACCCAACACAAACAGCATTTTTTTAGGAGGCCAACTCTCCTAATTTGTATGTGCAACCAATCAACACTTTTATTATCTTTCTGGTAGTTATTGAGTCACATGACCCATTTCAGATCATCACACCCTAAAAAATGTTGTGTTTCTGTCCGCCCCTTCCATTATATTATTCTTACTGGCAGCACAGGTAAAAAATATAGTTCCTCCTGCCAGCTCAGCTTTGGCATGTTTAGAAAGAGGCAGCAGGGGGCAGTGGGCAGGTCTAAATTTGTTTAATTTGCTCAATTGTGACGTAAGGATGCCAGGATTGTAATCCTTCTCCTCCTAAATTGGGATCTACTTTTGTTATACTAAAAGATAATGATTAAGTTCACATTTCTGACCATGTTTCATATTGCGTTCATATTTGGGGTGTAACAAGAACAAGAAACATGGTCAGATTGTAACCCCCTCAAACCCCCGCCCCTCCTGACCAACCCTTCTGCCCTTCCACTTACCTCAATCGCGGGGTTCTTCTCCCCGCAGGCTGTTGCTGTTATTTGACAGCTCTGCCACCCATTTACAGATCCTTTGACAGGATATGTAGATGGAGAACTACAAGTCCTGTCAGCCACCGCGGCATGATGGATGTCACCACACTTGTATTCCATAGACAATTCTTACCGTTCCTGTTACTGCATGTCCTTAGGTGGCAAGCAGAGTCTAGGGGTCTATCTAGAAGGGGCTCAGAACACACGGTACAAACATCGTAGACTCAGAACATGTTGTCCTACTGTCCACACTAAATCAGTGATGTGTGATGATGGGGGACGGTGTGATTACTAAAGGCTGGCTCCATAACATAAAAGATGTTACAGGAAGTCACGGTCACTATAACTTAATTCAGACTTAACTTAACAGATTTCTTATATAATTGGTGTTAACTTGTTGTTTCAATTTTAATTTCAGGCTATGCTAGTAGTTATGAGATATCCGATACCTTGAACATCGATCTCACCAAATATGATTATGAATCCATCATGCATTACGCCAAGTGAGTCTCATCAATATACGTGAAGTTTACAAGAGATGTTTATAAATCTATCTATCTATCTATCTATCTATCTATCTATCTATCTATCTATCTATCTATCTATCTATCTATCTAATGCACTCAGAGATCAGTCTGATAAGGTGCAGAAATATATATTTTAAATAGTACAGTTTATTAAGTTGTTTCAGAGTTCATTGTCAGGTTCACTTTATGGCCAGGCTCACACCATTTTCCAGACCAGTTTGGCGCATTTTGCCGCATTTTTGCTGTGAGTTTACCGTGATTTTGCCCCTTTTTCTTTTAGCTTCAAATGGGCTTACAGGTGCTGCCCATTAAGTTTGTATGCATTTTTGATGCATTTCCATGTGTTTTAGTGCATTCCAGACCAGAGAAAATGGGACAAGCAGTATTTTTTGGTCTGGAGGCCAGAAATACCATAGGGATACATTGGGATGCTTTTTTGGTCCGGGAACAAATTGTTCTGGTCTGGAAATGATTCGGACCTGGTGTGAGCAAGCCCTAAAGCACAACTCCAACCCCAACTTTTGATTTAGTTTTGGATAGACTGGGGAAGAATAAATACTTCAGTCAGATTTTTATAATTTTTTTTGACTGAAGGCCTTTACCAAATTTCTCCCCTTTCCATTGGAGAGTTTTCACCTCACTTTCTGCTCTCATAACAGGAGGACAAGAAATGAGGGCAGTGGTTGTTACATGGCCAAGAAGACACATATACTGTAGTACTAATAACTTGACAGAGGGTCTGACCAGTTACAATTTTACAAAATGAATGCTTTGTTGCAGTGTCCCCACCAGAGAGATGTTTCATCACTTCCTGTACCAACAGAAAGTAAGGGAAAATTTCCTCAATAGAAATTTGGACCACAAGCAAAAAGATTATTATTATTTCTTCCACGGTCTGACCAAACCCCACTCACCACTTTAAAATATGTGTGCTGTTTCTCTTTGGCACCTTTAGGATAATGCTCTCACTTTTACTTTGCTGTACTACTGCATACCCTAACCTAACAATTCACAATATGTGGGCTGCAGTATGCAGCCTGCAATATCCTTTGGAGTTTTCTCTGCTTTACACAGCACTCTGTGATTGGAGGAGACCTGGTCATGTGACTTTGACAGGTCATGTTACTCGGCTTTACTCCTGGCTTTTAGTAAAAATGAGGATGGGTTTGTGGTTTGCCGAAAGCCGTTCAAAACTCTGACCACCACCTCCTCCTCCCAACCCTATCTGTGGCGGCAGTTGTAGAGGTGGCACTCCGTGATTGGAGGAGACATTGCCATGTGACTTTGACGGGTCATGTTACCCGGCTTTACTCCTGGCTTTTACTAGAGATGAAGATGGGTTTGGGGTTTGCCCAAAGCCATTCATAACTCTGACCGCCACCTCATCCTCCCAACCCAATCTGTGGGGGCAGTTGTAGAGGCGGCATTCCCTGTCTCTTTTTGACGTATAGCTGTAATCTATCTATCTATCTATCTATCTATCTATCTATCTATCTATCTATCTATCTATCTATCTATCTATCTAATGCACTCAGAGATCAGTCTGATAAGGTGCAGAAATATATATTTTAAATAGTACAGTTTATTAAGTTGTTTCAGAGTTCATTGTCAGGTTCACTTTATGGCCAGGCTCACACCATTTTCCAGACCAGTTTGGCGCATTTTGCCGCATTTTTGCTGTGAGTTTACCGTGATTTTGCCCCTTTTTCTTTTAGCTTCAAATGGGCTTACAGGTGCTGCCCATTAAGTTTGTATGCATTTTTGATGCATTTCCATGTGTTTTAGTGCATTCCAGACCAGAGAAAATGGGACAAGCAGTATTTTTTGGTCTGGAGGCCAGAAATACCATAGGGATACATTGGGATGCTTTTTTGGTCCGGGAACAAATTGTTCTGGTCTGGAAATGATTCGGACCTGGTGTGAGCAAGCCCTAAAGCCCAACTCCAACCCCAACTTTTGATTTAGTTTTGGATAGACTGGGGAAGAATAAATACTTCAGTCAGATTTTTATAATTTTTTTTGACTGAAGGCCTTTACCAAATTTCTCCCCTTTCCATTGGAGAGTTTTCACCTCACTTTCTGCTCTCATAACAGGAGGACAAGAAATGAGGGCAGTGGTTGTTACATGGCCAAGAAGACACATATACTGTAGTACTAATAACTTGACAGAGGGTCTGACCAGTTACAATTTTACAAAATGAATGCTTTGTTGCAGTGTCCCCACCAGAGAGATGTTTCATCACTTCCTGTACCAACAGAAAGTAAGGGAAAATTTCCTCAATAGAAATTTGGACCACAAGCAAAAAGATTATTATTATTTCTTCCACGGTCTGACCAAACCCCACTCACCACTTTAAAATATGTGTGCTGTTTCTCTTTGGCACCTTTAGGATAATGCTCTCACTTTTACTTTGCTGTACTACTGCATACCCTAACCTAACAATTCACAATATGTGGGCTGCAGTATGCAGCCTGCAATATCCTTTGGAGTTTTCTCTGCTTTACACAGCACTCTGTGATTGGAGGAGACCTGGTCATGTGACTTTGACAGGTCATGTTACTCGGCTTTACTCCTGGCTTTTAGTAAAAATGAGGATGGGTTTGTGGTTTGCCGAAAGCCGTTCAAAACTCTGACCACCACCTCCTCCTCCCAACCCTATCTGTGGCGGCAGTTGTAGAGGTGGCACTCCGTGATTGGAGGAGACATTGCCATGTGACTTTGACGGGTCATGTTACCCGGCTTTACTCCTGGCTTTTACTAGAGATGAAGATGGGTTTGGGGTTTGCCCAAAGCCATTCATAACTCTGACCGCCACCTCATCCTCCCAACCCAATCTGTGGGGGCAGTTGTAGAGGCGGCATTCCCTGTCTCTTTTTGACGTATAGCTGCGGGGTGGTGAATGCACCTCTCCACAACTGACTGGGTCTGATCCTCAGCTTTTTCTTTTTATAACTCCCATTCACTTGCATTATTCACTTACTCATAAACAATGAAAATGAAATGTGTCAAGATGCAATGTTAAGAATTGCTGAAAAGGAGTTGCAGTCTTATCGCCTATTAAAAAAAGCTAAGCTATATTCCTCATACAATATGCTTAGTGATCCAAGAGGAATTTTTGGGGACGCTTCATGCCTCCATGGTGCCTGCAGCTAGAGAGGTCAGTCAGGACTTGTTTTAATGCTATTTTACTGTTTGTTAAGATTGTGAAAGTGACTAATTTCCTATTTTCTTCTTATAGAACCACTTTCTCCAAAAACAACATGCCTACAATGGAAGCTGTTCCCGACAAAACTGTTAGTTTTGGAGAGAACATTGGCATGAGCGCTCTGGATATCATAAAAATCAACACCCTGTACAACTGCTGTAAGTTCCTAGCATATTGTGAGATCTTATACTAAAAGGATGCATTTCCTTTCACATCTGTGAGATCAGAGAGGAGAGTGCAACACCCTTATTGACCAATCAAATCCCACCTTGCCCCAGCATGACTTCTATAAGCTAATTTCTTAATGGATGTTCTGGGCTTCTGTACTTTGACCTTAGCGCTTTGCTCCTAGCCATGTTTGTCAGCTGGTAGTCCAGGAAGATACAGACCTGTTAAAAACTGATCCAGCACTTACTTGAATTATCCAATACAATTTTTCCCATCTCCATTGGGATGATTTGATGGATACTGATAGCGGGCAATATATGCTTGTTGATTGTAGTCTGCATACAGGCAAAGTTCCAGGGTCATTATTTTCCCTTTAAAGCTGAACTCCAGGCAGATATAAAAGAGACAAATTAATGCAGCTCTGCATTTATTAATACATCATTAAATGTATTTTTTAAATGCAAGCAATGTAAGTACCTGAATTGGACTCGGCATTAGCCTCTTGTAGTCCCTGTCCAGTAGAGAGGATGAAGCAGCACGAGAAGCCAATCCGGTGTGTTGCAGTGCAAGCAGCATGTTGATGGGGAAAAAGAACAGAGTGGCAGAGAGATGAGCTCATCAGTCTCCTGCTTCTCCTTTCACTGTCCGGTGACACGGTGGGGAGGCAACCTGTAAGTAAAAGTGAAACTGCAGCAGAGAAAGATCAGGTCCCCTCCCTTTGCCAGACAGGACCATGCTGTGAGTGGAGGAGCTGTAAAAAAACTACAGGACTGGATGGACAGAAATACAAATCCTTTGGCAGGTAAAACTGCTCTAGTGTGTGTATTTCATCTGTTTATTTAGCTGTACTGGAGCCCAGTTTAAAGTTATTTATTAGACATGTAGATTTTGTTTAGTTCCAAATGGATATTTGTACAATTTTTTGCTGGATTCGAAAATTCGGACACATCTGAATTTCCTAATTCTAACGCGTCCGAATCCAAATGCTTATTTAATGAAAATACGGATCAGTCTGAATTTGTGTTCTAATTCGGACATGTGAGTGTTCTCTGGCCAATCAGAAGGGTTTTTTTGGCTGTTGGGGGTTGCCTTACAGGCACGGTCATGTGACTTTGTTCCGAAACGAAAATTCGGATGGATCCTAAATCCGTAAGAAATAAAAATCCGAATTGATCTTAAACAAAACACATTTTTTTTGCTGGGATATATGTCTATTATTTATGTCTGAATTTTTATGACAAGTGTATTCTGCTTTTTATTAACAGCAACAAAATCTGATTCCAAAATTTCTGTTGGTCAGACCACCACCACAACAACACCAACCACCACTACTACTACCACCACAACAAAGCCAACCACCACTACTACTACCACCAAAAGAACACCAAGAACTACTACTACTACTACAACCACCAAGCCAAGGCCTGTTCTGGACGCAAACAATGGTAAGGAAGTATTAGGCTCAGCAATGTTTTCTACCTCAACTCACCAACCTCCATCAACATCTGCAACATCAGATTTTGGCAGGCTGACTTTTTAAAGTGTATGTAAAGCCAAAACGTTTTTGAAAAAGAGTAGGCAATGGTTCAAATTCCAATCAGGTTATTGTTTCCCGCTTGTGTACCTCTGGGGAGATTTCCCTTTGCTTCCTGTGCTTGAGATGTAACTGGAAATGAAAGGAAGTCAATGGAATTCCCATCTTAAAAAGTTGTCAAAGGAACAAGTGTTCCACAGAAGGAAGCCCGGGAAGCCCATAGACAGGGCCGGATTTCCCACAAGGTCTGGTCTCTGGGCAGCAGGGGTGTGGATTTCCTATCTCCCGATGCCCGGGACATGCAGTTCCGGTGCCGGGCGGGTAGTTGTTCTCTACATTTAGCCCTGCTTTGGGCAAGCAGAGCTAAATGTACAGCAGCGATGTCGCCGAGATCACTTGTATGCAACCTGCAGGTCTGCCATTCTCCATGGGGGGGGGGGGGTTTGGCGAGAAGGGGGGCACATTGAGGACCTGGCCTTGGGGCAGCAGAGAGAGTAAATTGGGCCCTGCCCATAGCATTGTCTAAGATTTAAATTCTGTAAAAAGGACTCAAGATTTCTAGTAGGATCATCAGAACTTTTTCTGTTCTTGCATGAAATGTAAAAAATAAAAGCTACTTCTTCTAAGGATTAGGATTAGTAAACCGCAATGTATTACATTTTTGTTCTTGGGTTGAGATGCACTTTAGAACTTTATCCAGCTGCCCGTTCATGATCAGAGTGACTACACGTTTGATATTTCCAAGATGGAGCCATGTATTCTGCTTAATATGGAGTGATGAGAACCAACATTGTATCTCGTGTTTTTTCTGCCCTTACCGGATCAGATTTTTATTGGTGACAGCTTAGCAATTATACTTAAATCTTAAGGAGACACTGCCACTTTGCCAATTCAGAGCAAAATGATAGGTACTCTTGAAAGAAAAAACAACCCTCACCCATTGATACTCACCTCAGCTGACTTTCCCCACTGCTCCTTTCCTCTGACGGAGGCAGGAGTCCGAACCTTGTGTAAGATTTGTGTCGAAGCTTACACGGGTTTAACTCTTTCTTCCTCATTCTCAATGTTCGGGGCTAATGACTGGCCATTCTGGCCCAAGCACTGCGTCTCAAGAGGAGGCCCTACCCAGAAGTAATAGGCAAAGTAACAGATTCTTTATACTCTAAAGTGAAATCTTTGGTATTACAAAGTAAATCACAGGAAAATATATAAATGGAGAAAAAATAAAAATGGTATATATAAAGCGACTCTTTAAGTTCAGGGTCACTTGAAAAAAAATGACAGACCTGTAAAAAAAAATAGTCCGGATACTTATCTTTCTGGCAGCCTGTTTGTTAAAACACCATCTCTTTGGTGCTTGCTGGCCGCTGCAGGTATTCGGCCCGCCCTGACCCCACTGCACACTCCCGCTAGCTCATACGTTCACTAATGATGTATGAGCGAACTGGGGAAATGAGGAGGACCAGGTATTCCACACACCTGGAAATGTGGAATACTTGCAATGGTTGGCGAGCACCGAGGAGACAGCATGACAACAACAAACGGGCCACTGGAAAGTTAAGCATGGAGTCTCTTTCTAATACAGGTATCGCAGCAGTTGTGACTGCTAATTGTGAAAAATGAAGGGTGCCAGCTCGGGATCCCAAGCGATAACAGATACTCCTTAGCATCTGAAGTAGTAGATATTGTGTAGAGATATTCCTCAGCAGGAAATGGGGGAGTCTATGACTTTCAGGAAGTTGCTTTTTACATAGGAACTTTGGGGAGTTCTGACATTACTATGAGGGCTTTACTGCAACCACAAGCGTATGATATGGCAATTTATGTGATGTTCAGCTGCATCTTTAGTTTATAGGCTTTTACTAAACTGCAGGTTTATTATATGTCAAAAATAAATCAAGGCAACTGGACTTGCTGCATTTTTCTTGAAGATGTTTTGCTGGTCATCCAACTAACTTTTATGAATTCAGAAGCTTTATTGTTCTTATACCAAGTCTATAAAGCTTTGGGGATGGCTGTTGATTATAAAGCCAAATACATGTACATCTGTTTATAATGAGATGTTTTGTGTCTCTTCCAGTTTGTGGTGGCTTGCTGACAAACCCACAGGGAGTCATCACTTCCCCCAACTTCCCAAACAATTACCCCATTGAGGCTTACTGTCACTGGAACATCAGCACCACCTCTAAGGTAAGAATGTGGCATATATGCAAATACTAGCCGTGCATTCGGATTCGGACAAACAAGCAAATCGACAAAATTAGTTTGATTCGGCGGTTCGTCCAAATTCGAAATAACGAATTTATTATATGCCCGAATATACTAAAACTATATTCGGGCATACATAAATTCATTTGCAGAATGCGTGGTGGCCATATTGGCCCCGGCACGTTCTGCGCAGGTGCGCAGCTATCTTTGAGTATCTTGGTGTTTACCAAGATACTCTGAAAAATGGCAGCGTGCAAGCGCAGAACTCACCGGCGGCCGAGGCGGCCGCCGCTCGTTCTGAATTTTCAGTGTGTGGTTTCGGATTCGGAGGCTCGTTGCCTCCGAATCCGAAATGGCAGAAAAATTTGTTTTCTTTGATGAAACGAATGGAAATGTTTTTCGTTTTCGTCAGAAAACAAATTTGTTTGCCCTGCACATGCCTACCAAATACAGTATTTTATGCACGCTATAAAATGAGACAGATCATTAGGTAATTCTCTCTCTCTCGCACTCCAAAGACCTGCTGGTAGGTCTCCTGTCTAAGTTGGCCCTAGTACAAAGTGCCCTAGTGCAAAATGCCGAAGTGGAAACTCTTTTTTTATTACGTCATTTAGTGGTCTTTGGGTTTTTTTTGTGTACTTTTGTATTACTTTTTTCCACTGCTTATTTTGGTCTTCTGTGAAAAAAACAAAACAATATTTCTGAGTACTCTCCTGTCCTTTCTCCTCCCATCATACAAATCACCTAACATGAAATCTGAATGTTTCATTCCAGGTTAAGATCACTTTTACCCATTTTGATGTAGAAGGCAGTATGAGTAGCATCTGTGCCTTTGACAAGCTTCAGGTCTACAACGGACAGGGTCTACTTTCCTCGTACAAGTCTGAATTCTGTGGAAAGACGTTGCCACCATCCATTACATCCAAGCAGAATACCATGCAGATCGTCTTCTCCAGCGATCACAGTGCAAGTTGGACAGGATTCAGGCTCGTATATGCACCAGGTAAGCTCAGTCATCATTCTCTGACCTGATTTTTATCAGCTCAATTCTTTAACTAGCATGGCAAGTGTTAGTGTTAGTTCACACCAGACCCAGTGCGTTTCGGCCCGATTCAGTGCCAGAACACACTGGGTTGCATAGCGGCTGGCTCTCTGCGTTCTGGGGCGGGAGGGGGAGTTGAAGCCAATGGCACCACAGCCACGCCCCCTCGCCGCAGTGCGATCGCCCACATCGGAATGCGTGGCACATCAATGCCTGCGTTACGGTCCAGTGCGGTCAGAAAAAATGCTGCATGCACTATTTTTTCTGACTGCACCGGACCGGAACACAGGCATTGATGTGCCACGTGTTCAGGTGACTCCAATGCACCGCCACGCCTCCTCCTGCCCCAGAAGGCAACGAATTGGGCTGGAACGCACTGGGGATGGTGTGCACTAGCCCTTATAGTTTCCTGTTGTCCCAGTTATGGTGTGGCAATCCCAGCTTCAGTGTGGGGTTTACATGGATCAGGGTCAAGGCGTAAAGTGTATGTTTTTTCTTAGTTTTGGATAGAGCGGGGAAGGATTAGAACTCCTTTCAGGCTTTTCGTACAATCTGGGGCTCCCTAATTTCCTGCCTTACTGATAATATTTCACCAGACCAAACTATTTCCTCCGAACTTGCAGCCCTAACTCGAATACTGGCCCTGTATCACCCTAACCGTCCTCTCCGCTCCTCCCAAGACCTCCTGCTCTCTAGCTCCCTTGCAAACTCCTCCCATGCTCGCGTCCAGGACTTCTCTAGAGTCTCTCCCATCCTCTGGAACCCCAACCTGTTTGCCTATCTCCTACTCTGTCTGCCTCTAGGCGATCCCTGAAGACTAACCCTCCTCAACCTAACTAGACTATTACTTTCTCAAACAACACATACCCACACAGCTACCGCCTTTTGTATCACCTGCCCCTCCCTTTTAGATTGTAAGCTGTCATGGGCAGGGCCAGGGGCGTCCCGGGTGTCACCTGGTCTCTAGATGGACTTGGTGATGGATGTCGGCAGAGAGAGGAGGGGAGGTTCACCCGGTGGGTTGAGGTATGCCGCCGGGTCCCCTCCTCTCTCATGACACTGTTGGGCTCTTGGTCCATGACCGCGTGCCCGACTTTTTAGATGGGGTGACACCAAAATGACTGTCAGTCATTTTGGTGTCACCCCTGCAATGGTGACACCCGGATGCGGGTCGCACCCCCCTTGTGACGCCACTGGGCAGGGCCCTCCTTACCATCTTGTCTTGACTTGTATTGTAACTGTATCCTGAATAATAATATTAGCGTTGTTTGGCCACAGTAACAGTGAACATTTTTGGTCCTAACCAAAGACAGCTTTTCAGGAAAAAAACCTCATACTGACTGTGAAGCATGGCAGTGGAAAAGTTATGGTTTGAGGCTGTTTTGCTGCTTTAGGGCCTGGGCAGCTTGCATTTATCAATTCAACTTCTGCATCATATCAAAGTGTGCTTGATTAAAGATCGCCTGGTTTTAATTAAAACTGTAGATTTAAAAATATTGATAATTATTTTTGAAATTACATTAACACGTTAAATATTTTATGAGATTAAGTGATATCCTAAAATGATCTCTTTCTCTTGCAGTATAATATGTGGGAACAAATGGGAAATTAAATAAACCTTTAGGACTTCAAGACTGGCATTTCCCTCAGTGTATTCTGAAGACAGGAAAAAACATGAAATTATTTACAATAATGTTTAATTTTTTTTTTTACTGTATAATGTGTTTGCCAAACAATGTATTTTTCTATTTTTTTCTTCTAAAACTGTGTTGTTTTGCCTTTAAATTAAAGATATATTTGCATATATACGTATATATACTGTATATGAGTTTATTCACCAGCTAAATCTTCATATTAGCAAGTCCCAAACTTTGCAGTTAATTGTTTATTGAGTACAGTGGTGGTGGATAGATGGCACCGGCTGCCGCAGTTTTGAGCCAGGAAAGTATATGTATCACCAGCCTATAAATTATGAGCTGTTGAATCTGTTCTACTACATGCGGGTGAAAGTACAGCTCCGTACAGCACAGAAAGAGAGAGGACAGAGATGCAACTGTAGCGGTCTGATCTTACAGCAACTAGCAGTTGCTACTCTCTTGCTGCCTGGGGCCAATACGTGCAACAGGCGCGTGGCGCGTGCGTGTGTACGCCGTGCTCGACGTATTGGAATGCGCATAGGCGCATGCGCGCAACTAATCAGTTTGCGGGTATCCATGCGCAACAGCGCGTGCAGCAATCCGTGCAGTACTTGTGCTATGGGCAGCAGCCATACCTTCCTGACAGTTGGGCTTTTGAGGGTCACCTGTCCCACACTTTCTAGTTGGGAAGAGATTTCACCGACACAATAAATACAGCTTGCTGAACAAACCACACAACACTTTTATTCTAGAACTGGCAAATATTCAACTATACAAATTGCAATAAAGAGATAAAAATGATATGAATTAAACTTTAAAGGACCAGTAAACGTAACATTGAAATTGGTTTATTTTAAATAGAGAGTTGTGCCATTTATAGATATTTGTAGAAGAGTTAAAAAAAACAAAACCAGAGATACAGGTATCTGAGATAAAACCGTGAGACATTCTGGCCAACTCCTTCCTGTCCAGAAATCCCATTATAGGACAGTGCAGGCTGCCTCTCCTCAAACTGTGACTATTATCAATCATGTGCCTGTTTTGGGTTTGGATGGGGATAGATCAGAAGTGGTCATTTTCCTACCCAGAGATTTCCCAACTTTCTGGATAATATTTGTGGGATGTCTTCTCTTATCTGAATGAGAAGAAAGCTGCAAGATAAACAGGGTCCCAGCATACAGAATGTGACTGGGAGTCCCTACCCTTTGTTCCCTGTAAGACATCTGCTTATGTTTATATGAAATCTTTTGGTGCACCAAAATTTCATATTCTACATACAGAACTGCAGGTTTTCCCTCTAGTGGCCATTCCTACATCAGACACCGCTGGCAGCATCTTCTGCTAAACATCTGCCGTGAGAAGATCAGTTACAGCACAAGCCACCTAAATAGTATATTGCATTCTGTGAAAGTCTATAGTCTGTAGGCTTTGCTTACCCTGCTAAGGTCGCAATGCATTTGGAGATGCTGGTAGAACAAAGCAAAATCTATTTTTTCCTCCACAACTAAACGACTCATTCCACTATCAGTTCTGCCTATTACTATAGGTTACTCATAACCTTAGTACTGTAGGTACTAAGGTTATGAGGTGTATAAAACTGATCTTGTCCGGCTTCCTTGCCTCTGTCTCCACAATTAAGCCCCAAAAGGTGGCAAAATGCGTCAGCATTGAGGAACCTAATGTAGTGTCTGTGCACTTGCTGTAATAAAGTTAGTTTGAAGAGACACTTGGAAGCAGGGGAAATGAAGCCTGGAGTTCCACTGCCAGTAATGGTTGCTGTGAGCAGCCTGAGGCCTTTTGAAGCAATGACCATGTAATTTGACCAGCTCTGCTTGTTGCATTCTTGGTTCATACCTTGCATGGCCCTATTCAGGTCTATAAAATAGGTTCTTTCAAAAGCACATCATGACATGCCAAAGTGCAATGCAATGGCTACCAGTGTGATTGTGCCCTAAAACTGGCCATACACTGTTAGAATTAAGCTGTTTCTTTTGTATTCTGACAGTGGCCGGCAGCCGCTGTTAGAATACCCGAAAAGAGCCAGCAGCTCATTGGCTGTCAGCTCTGTTCATATGAAGATTTTCCGACCAGCTTCTTTGATCCTTTGATCACGTGATGCCAGCCGAAAGGGTGCTGACAAGAAGGAACCAGTCGAAATATGCACATTGTATGGCCACCTTTAGCCCTCATTCACACGAGTAACGGCCAGCCCGTGCACGGCCGTATCGGGCCGTTCCCGGGAAGGACAGGTGCTGCGTGTGATTTGTACGTAGCAGCCTGTTCTTCTCTATTGGAGTACGCGGCCGTACGCCGACCTACGCTCACCTGACCTGCACGTCCGTACGGGTGCAGATGTCTGTCCTCGTACGCTAACAGGATGGATCCTGTCTGCGTCCGAGCAGGGACACACGCACACAGACGGATGTGCAGGTCGTGTGAGCATAGGGCGGCGTACGGACGCGTACTCCCGTAGAGAAGAACAGGCTGCTACGTAGAAATCACATGCAGCACCTGTCCTTCCTTGAGCATCCCAATACGTCCGAGCACGCAGCACGGATCTGTATGGGCCGGCCATTACCCGTATGAATGAGGGCTTACCCTCAATTAACAGGAATTGGCCAAAAGTCTAAAGGTGCCCATACACTGCTCGATTTTCGTACGAGAATTGCGGGAAATCCCACGATCGTACGAGAATCGAGCAGTGTGAACGAAAACGTGCGACCGTTTCTACTGTACGGTTGCACGTCTTTTGTCTAAGGAGCACGCTAGAAAACCAGCCGAAAATCGTACGATTTTCGGCTGGTTTGAACGGTGCTCGGGAGACAAATGCCGAACGGGCCGGTGTGCGCACGCACACACTGCCCGTTCAGCATTGCGGTCATCGGAAACCCCGCCCGTCAAAGGGCGGGCTTGCGATGATCGAGAGTACGATCTGCCTGTCCAAGATGGGCAGATCGTACGTTTTTTAAATTACTTTACAACCATCGCAAGACTAAGGTCTTGCGATGGTTGTAAAGTGTATGGCCACCTTAACAATGAGTCCTAATGGAGCTGGGATGAGATTTTTCAGCTGAACGGTGGCAGCAGCCAATCAACACTGTATTAAGAAAGGAGCAAGCACAACCTCCAAGCTGCACTATTAACCAAGAAGTACGACATGCATATGTAAAAGACCAAATATGGATGCTTCCATAAACATATTTAATTAAAAACTATACATAAAGACAAGATATTGCAAATCAGCATTTACATTACAGTGTACGTAACCCCTTAATCTGTTTTTAGTATGTTGGATATCATGTCTCACTGTACACAGTTTTTTTTTAAAGCTTAAAGTCTTTCTTTAAAAACAAAAATAAAAAAAATGCACAAATTCATAAAGAAAAATGTGCATTTTATTTACTTTTTTTTTGCTTTGAGCCAGTAAAAGGTTGCTGCAATTGTGACCAAGGGTGCAATAGAGGAAGTATGAATGGACAACAAGTGAGGTGACCTACCCGCACTTGTATTCCATCGAAAGCGGCAAGTCCCTCTGATGTAGTGGCAGCCAGAACCTGTAGTTTCTCCGTTCACAGATCCTGTCAAAAGATCTGTGAATGGATGATGTGGCTGTGTGGGTGGAGCCATGAACGGCCATGCCAGAGTAACAAAAAAGCAATAGCCAGCGGTTAGAAGAACACCGTAATTTAGGTAAGTGTGGGCTGGGGGTGGCGATGTGACCATGTTTCGTGTTATATCTTGAATATGGGTGTAACATTA